CAAAGAAAGCTTTTTTCATGTTTGATGGAGGAGTTGTGGGATGGAAGGAATGCCACCATTGAACTAAAATGTCAAGGCTCAAGGCTGAAGGGTTTTCGACAGTCATCCTGACTGATGAATTATATCCTGTTGCCTGTTGGTTTCCTTAATAAATTCCATATTCTGTGACATCTATGTAGCTATTGCAAAGGTTTTCGGACCCAGTAGAGCACAGTTGGGTTGGTGTTAAAATTAGCAAAAGTTGGTGTAAGAGTGTGGGGGAAATGTCTGACCTCATAGGAATGGTTCTGGGTTGTAACTGCTGTTGATGGGGACAGTTTCCTCTTATGGAGTTAATGGTAGTCAAATATGGCCAGTCCCATGTTTTGCTTGCTTTTTTTACAGGAAGAAATCACATTACAATAGCAAAGATAACAAAGATTAAATATGTGGGAATGAATCTGTCAAGAAATTTGCAAAATATACGGTAAATTTGTAAATTCAAAACACTTCTGAAAGGTCATAAGTAGATTGAACAAATGAAAAAAACATGTTCAATGCTTAGATAAAAGTTTCTGGGTGGCACAATTTGCCCTTGACTAAAATTTGAGAGGAGCCAGCTATTGGAGGAGACATCATGATTGGTAAAATTGTTGTTTTTATGTTCCGTCGAGTCACTTGCAACTCATAGCGACCCTGTGTACAACAGCCCTAAACTCTGCTCTGTCCTGTGCCAATCTCACTGTCTCTGGCACTCCCATCCTAATTAACCCAGTCACCAAATCAAAGCATCTCATAGAGGGCCTTCCCCCTCCTGCGCTGTCCCTCCACCCTCCCAAGCAAGATATCCCTCTCCAAAGACCGGTCTCTCCTTACAACATGTCCAAAGTATGTTAGACAAAGCCTCATAATCCTTGCATACAAGGAACCGCCCGGTTTAACCCTTTCCAGGATGAATCTGTTTGTTTTCTTGGCAGTCCATGATACATTCAATACTCTTCTCCCACACCACAGCTCAAAGGCATCAATTCTCCTTCTATCCTCCTTTGTGACTGTCCAACTCACTGATGCATAACAAGTGATAGCAAAGACCTGTATCAGACACATCTTAGTCTCCAGAGAGACACCATTGCTCTTCAGTACTTTGGAGAGGTCCCTAACCGCAGACTTTCCCACGGCAATACATCTTTTAATTCCATGGCTACTGGTCTCAAAAGTGTTGACTGTGGAGCCAAGCAAACTAAAGCTGTGAACAATCTCAATCTCTTCACCACCCATCCTGATGCTGCCAATCGGTCCAGTGGTGAGAATCTTTGTCTTCTTGACATTGAGCCTCAATCCACATTGGAGGCTACAGTCCTTGACCCTCTGTAGCAAGCGCTTCAGGTCCTCCTTAGTTTCAGTGAGCAGGGTTGTGTCATCTGCATAACACAGATTGTTGATAGATCTTCCACCAATCTTGACCCCACATTTCTCCTCATAGAGCCCAGCCTCCTGGATAATTTGTTCTGCATACAGATTGAAAAGGTATGGAGACAGGACACATTCCTGGTGTATGCCCTTCCCAATTTTGAACCATGCAGTGTTCCCTTGCTCTGTTCTGACGACTGTCTCTTGGTCCAAGTATAGGTTTTGCATTAGTACGATCAAGTGTTCTGGGATTCCCATTCTTCTCAGAGTCAGCCATAGTTTCTTATGATCCACACAGCCAAATGCCTTGCATAGTCAATGAAACACAGATATACATTCCTCTGGTATTCCCTGCTTTCAGCTAAGATCCATCTAACAACAGGTGCAATATCCCTAGTCCCATGACCCCTTTGAAACCCAGCCTGGACTAGGGCAGGTCTCTGCTGATGTGCTGTTCTAGTCGTTTTTGGATAATCTTCAGTAGAATTTTGTTTGCATATGAAATCAAGGAGATTATTCTATAGTTTCCACACTATGTTGGGTCACCTTTCTTTGGGATAGGAACAAATATAGATCTCTTCCAGTCAGTTGGCCAAGTAATTGTTCTCCAGATTTCTTGATACAACTTGGTGAGCATGTCCAGGGCAGCATCTGTTAGCTGAAATATGTCAATTGGAAAGCAGCCTGAACTTCTTCCTTCATCACCATAAGGTCTTGCTCATATGTTGTTTCATGAAATTCTTTTGTGTCTGCCAATTTCTTTTGATACAGTGACTCAGTATATTCTTTCCATCTTCTTTTAGTACTTCCTGGATCATTTAATCTTCTGCCTAAAGCATCCTTGACTATAGCAACTCAAGGTTTGAATTTGTTCTTCAGTTCCTTGAGCTTAAGAAATGCTGAGCGAGTTCAGCCCTTTTGATTTTCTGACTCCAACTCCTTGCACATTTCATTGTAATATTTTGCTTTGTCATCCCATGCTGCCTTTT